ACCGAGTGCTTCTCGACCAATAATGAGTTCTCATCCTGTGTTGTCTGCTCCCAGTTTGGCATTCATATCACCCCACCCATTAGAATTTTGATGTCGATAACTGAGGTGTAGTCTTGTCCAGTGTTGATTGCAGTTGTCTGTAGAATTCTTCCTTTTTCTGTTCATCTGCATTATTTGTGGGTGCGTAGCGTAGCGTAGGATTGTACGATTGTGACTTTCCTTCCTTTTGAGTTGAATCTTGCTGTTATAATCCTGCAGGAGATCGGTTCCCACTACATGACAGCCTTCGATGCTCTTGGAAGGGGACATCATGATAGCCACTCTATAGCTCAGTGTGCTCGTGGTTGCCGTCTGGGTGATAATATCGGAGTAGATTATTGACAGTTTGGAGAGTCCACTTCCATTCCACCTGCTTTCGCAGATTCCAAGCACTTCTATGCCATACCTTCTCATCTCGTTTGCAATCTGGGAGACCTTGGTAGGTTCAAACATAGTGTGGACATTCCATGTCCCCATGTTTACTTTCACTTTCGTCGAGAGAGGAGAAGACACATCGGCCAATTGGCTTCCCGATGGATTTCACCAACCGGCGTCATTTCGTCTCCCCGATTCCAGCGAGTAATAAGTTTGTTTTTATTTTTTATATTTTGTCTGTGCTTTGAAGTTTGTTTAGCGGTTGGATTGGTTTTATGGGGTAGGGTTGCTAGCCCTATACTCAACCTTCCCTCTTTATCCGGGCTTAGGACCGACTAGTAACTAGTGAACTAGTTAAACATTCAAAAATGCCGTCCATCATATTGAATATCTGCAAGTTTTTGAAGGAAACTATTCCAAAAATGCAACAGAACAAGCTAAGCTGAAATTTACTCAGATTTTTTAAGAAAACTGAGAATGAATCAGTCATCATCAGTGAGTTATTTGAATAACCGGGACCATTAGGTTTGGTCATTTCTCGCCTATATTGTCTCCCAAAAATACACAAAGAGGAATGTTCCACTACTTCCAAGTGTGGATATGAACAACTCACTATGTCATGGCATCGCTAAGTGGCTCTGATATCCTGCAACCAATCAGAAAGCACTTTGATACTCGTAGCGTGTTGGATTCCTCTGACTTTGTTGATACAATAGTTAATGTCAATATATCCAATAAGCGAATAATTTCTCTGGATTTAGCCTCTCTCTTTACGAATGTTCCACTCACTGAAACAATCTGTTTTCGATATGATTTTAATAAAGATATCAATTTTTACTTCGGTATGTGTAAACACGCGTGCTGATATAACAATATCTGAACGTTTTACTCTACTTAGCAGAATTGACAGCTTCTAACAGAAATCCTCCTTTCTGCCATCTGACTTGCAGTTGGTAGAGGTGTAAGTCGAGATGGTAAGTAGGTCTCGGAGAGTGTCACAGTATTTCATAAATAAGTCTTTTTGAAGTAAATGATAATGAAGTCGTCTAGCCTGGTGATGACACGTCCAATAACATACATCAGAGCTCAGAGAGCACATGAAATGGCATGTGTCTCCTGATTTGTTCCGGGGTTCAAACACTGAAAGGTCTTGTGTGAAATCAGCAGCATAATGTTTTATGGTTGGGAACGGTGTTTCGATAAGTAGCAGCATTCACACAGAGGCTTTTTACCGTGAAATGAAGAGGAGGAAGAAAAGTAGATTGATCACGGTAAGTTGGTTTTTGTTTTACACTGGAAAGTCCCGGGCGCCCAGAGTTTACCAGCTACCCACAGGGTCAATGGTTTTCTGTTTAGTGGCTGAGGGAGAAAATGGGTTGGTTTTCCTTGAGTATAGTGCTCGAAGGATATCTGTTTTAAACCGCCCACACACAGCTTTCTTAAGTTTGAGACTTAACTTTGACTATCTTAAATCCAGCTAGGCAATCCACACCACCGCGGTCGGAATACTACAGAGCAGTGAGGTGTGTGTTATTTTTGCGGCCAACTTTTCCTACCACTGTTTTCCATAGGGAAGACAACATCAGCATATTACTGTTGGTCATCCGTGAAAAACACCTTACGGTTGTCACACCTCTTTCCGCCAGCAGTACGAGTTCATCCTTGGATCCTCATCATACCATAGCCATTCGCACTGTGACAGTAATTACCTTTAAGCTTGCCATTATACAGCAGCTCTTTTTGGTACTTCAGGACCTCATTAAACAATCGTCCCAGTAAGCACATCTCGCAGATTATTACAAAAGGCATATCCGACCACCATGTCAAGGTATCAGCTGTCGATCGAAACATGTAATTAAAAATTCAAACTTTTAAGAGATGGGGGATTGAAACCTAGGTTAGTAGTTATCGTTCTTATTTCATTGAAGCATACACCAAAGTTATTCGCAAATAGATTTTTGAATAGTTTAAAAGCTTCTCTTTTGACGTATGAAAACACTCTGACAATTGGTCCAGAAACCCTTCATTTAAATGGTGTTCCAGTCTTAGGTTACCGATGTAGTTCTATGAAGAGTATGATGCGTTCTAGATTAGTTACTTTCATTGCCTCCTGCATCTCATACAATAAAATACTCACTTTACAATTTGATATTTATCGCGGACTGACATCAATTGAAAAACCATTGAAAACCCGGAGCACTGGATAGCTGTTTCACCCTAGTGTGAGAATCCTCAATGGTGCACATCCACAGGACCTTCAGGTGCCGCGACGAGCACCTTACCATTAATCCATTGGGTCCGAATCTTATGGTCCACATTTTCTTACTTCTGTTGATTGGCGATGTAGTGCGACCTTCACTTTAGCTAACCAGCCGTTTCCAGCATCCCTCCGTATTAGTAATCTAGCGTTCAGTTGTATAATCTAATCTTTTTTCTTAACGAAACATTTTTGTTCCAGACTGCAAAGTACATACGAACAACGTCTGGTTTGTGGTGAAGTATACTGATGGAATTCTGCTAGAACATTTTATTTTGTGTTGTTTTCCATGTTTTTCTATGCTTCTAATAACCATAGCAGAAAAACATGTTGTGAGGTTACTTTGTGCGTGAATATTCACAGTTTTTTCCAAATTATCTATCAGAAGCCATTTGTCTTGTCCAAATATCAAATAAAAATTTCACCAAACTTCTGAAATTTTTTTTTTGATCAGTGGAAAACACTAACAATTTTTCCACGGACCAAAATATGTTTGGAGTGTTCTAGTAAGGGTTTGATAGTCTATGATCTGAAAGAAAACATCTACACAGGGATGCTTCTTTGTTGAATAATCCTGTTTACTTCACGGACAAGATTTAAAGGAGAGACTTTTTTGTTTTTATTCCATTCATTATGATTTAACCAGTTAGGTTACAGGTCTGTGCGAGGAAGTATCGCCCGGACTTATATTCTTCGTCAGTTACCGTAAAATGTACTTACTGGTTTCTCACATTTATCTTTTTTGTTTTACTCTCCGATTGAAGCTTACCTCTGTTACTCGTGTAGTTTCATACCAGACAGTATTTCTCTTTATTTCTGACGTTCGCACTGACCAGAAATAAATGGTTATCTGAGCCTGGTTGTAGTGGGACATCGTTCGTTCGGCCGGGATTCCGAAAGTAACATCTAAGTGCCTTTCTGTCTGATCGACCTAGCCTACTTTGAAGACAACCACATCTGAATGTTTGACATTCTGTTGGGGGTTAGACAGTTTTCAGTAGAACGCATCCTTCACTTCATCCGAGCTGTAGTCAATGGGTGCGTAAGCAGCAGTAAATTTCACTATCGTTTTTAATCTTCACTGGGCTCTTCAGTCGAACAGTGCATTGGCGACTACCAATTGAGTTTCAGTCGAGCAGCGGACTTACGTTTTAGAACATAACGCTCTACCTACATCTATAAGATCGTAAGAACTAGCCTTCTGGTCTCCAGAAACTTGAAGGGTAGATTTGCAGATTCACTGTATTGGTCGGGTGAGACTTAGGTCCTGTATGAATGTTCCACATATGCACCACATGTCCATGCCCAAGATGCCAGTGTTTTGGCTAGTGGAGTTTGTTGGCTTATTTGATGGAAAGTGCAGATATAGTAATAATGATAATAATAATAATAATTCACTTTATTCCAAACAATTTGTGGTACAATTCGGAATTCTCAGCATGATATATTGCAACAACAACAAAATTTATGTATATACAACCCCTTTAACATTAAAAGCCTCCAATGTGTAATTTGGAGTGCAGTTTCAGGAGACGGGGAATACTGTTGCATGACATTGTATCGTTATTAGAAGCTGTAGACTTGATAGAAGTAAATATGAAATATAGTGTAAGAATTATGAATATACTATTCATAATTTCATAAAATTTGAGAAAGTAATTGTTTCTGTTCTTCGGAGAAGCTATTTACAAGTTATTTAAAAAATTTGCATTTTTAATTGAGTTTTCTGACAACTAATTACTTTTTCACTACCCATTCATAATATTCGCCAACTTTCTTTTGGAAAATTTGTGGTAGTGCTTACGAATGTAAGTTGTTTGGCTTAGGTAATGGTATATATATCAGTCAATAAAGTGAGTAGCTATTCTCCTACTTGGCAAGTAACACCGGTTATTCACTTTCAGGTGTTATGAACAAGTTGAATCTACCTAGGGAGATGTAAGCTTCTGCTTGTATATTTTTGACTGCTTTAACATGAAATCCGGTTTCATATATTATGTTCTGTTTTGTGTTGCACTCTAGTAAATACAGATATCAAAATAATAAATGTTACTTAGCCAATGCCCACATACTTTCAGACCATCATATCCCAACATGATTTTGATATCTATAAAATGCTCTGTAGTTGTTAGTTTAAATTTTTCGATCAACTCTTACTTGATATACCATTGAACTGTTTCAACATTCTGCCAATCTCTCGTTTTGTTCAAAAGTCATATGAGTATCTCGTATTATTGAAATTCGTTATTTTTGTTTTCTGCTTCGAGTAGTCTTACTGATGTATAGTAATAGGTGGTTCTATTTTGCCTGTTGTTGCATATTTGCTTAGGGAAGAACAGGTGTTATGGTCTGTGCCTGTCTCCTTCGATTGAATGATGTCTTGGATGCAGAGGCATCACTGAGATTTTATGGTGAACAAAGAACTGATAATGGAAAAGGAGTTACAATTCCTAGTCAACGGCGTTATGTACATTATTACGATATGTTCCTTAAAAATAATCTGGTATATCACAGGGTACCGCTTTTCCTAACAGCTGTGCGTATTTGTGGATTGCAATGCTTACCAGGTAATGTATTACTTGTTCATGTGTCTACATGTGCTTTCGACAAGGTTTTTGCGTTAATATGTGTTATGATGAAATCATGCATAAAAGTATATGCAATAAAGTAAGGTTGGTTAACTCGCACAAGTACCAAATGCGGGAAAGCAGCAGGATCAGATGGAATCCTGCCAGAAGCACTTAGAGCAGACGCAGGGACAACAGCGGACATGCTCACACCACTACTGCAGAAGGTCTTGAAGGAAGGAAGGAAAGGTGCCTACCGATTGATTTGAAGATGGGCTATCTTGTCAAACTCTCAAAGAAGGTAGACCTAGGTCTTTGGAAGAACTGGCGCGAAATCATGCTGCTGTCTACTTCGAGCGAAATATTAAGCCACATCATTCTGAAGAGACTAAAGGGTTCGCTGGATTCAAAATTATGACTGGAACAAATCATGTGCGGACCAAATTGAAACGCTTCGCATCATGATAGAACAGAGTATAGAGTATAGTACCGAATTTGAGAAGGCCTTTGACAGCGTCGACCGAGAGGTGATTTGGAAACTGCTTCAATACTACAGAATACCGCAAACCTTTATCAGCCTCATTCAACAACTATATGAAGACGCCATATGCCAAGTAATTCACAATGGGAAGCTCAATGATGCTTTCGAAGTGAAGAGAGGAGTGAAACAAGGTTGCCTACCAAAACTCATGATATTCCCGATTGTAGTGGACTGGATCATGCAGCAAACAGTGGGGAGCGAGAAGAGGGGGATACGCTCGACTTCGGAAAAGAACCTGAAAGACTTGGATTTCGCCAATGACTTCTGTCTGATGTCACACAAACTGGAAGATCTACAGGCGAAAACTAACAAGTTGACAGAAGAGGCGAGGCAGGGCAGTGAAGACGGGACTTCAAGTGAACGTAGAGAAGACACAAGGTCAAGAAGAGGAGCAGATGTAGGCTCACACCACTCACTATCTTATCTAGTGCAAGGAACCTTCCAAATCAAGTTGAAAGCATTCAAGGAAATTGGCGATAGACCACAGTTCAAGTTCAACACCCAGAACAGAAACTGAAGGACGAAACTACAAAGGACATCTTCATGGCAGCCAGCCATCAAGACAAAATGGGAGATATCGAGGAACATCACTGAAGAAACCTGTGTGGAAAAACACTGGAAGTCCTTGAAAGAGATGTGGAAAGAAACCTGCACAACCGTATTAGGAAGGAAGAAGAAAGAAGACAGGACGAGGAATGGATCTCGACTGACACATGGAAGCTGATAGAGAAGGGAGAGGAGGATGGTGAAGCAGAAGAGAAACCAGTCTAGTGCAAGGATGAACAACGAAAAGAGGAACTGAGTATAATGTATAAAACACTGGACAAAGAAGTGAAGAAGAGTGCACGCAAAGACAAAAGACACTTCTACGAAACACTGGCAAGTGAAGCAGAACACGCTGCAGGTAGGAGAGAGAGAGAGACCTGACAACACTGTATCAAATAACCAGGTTACTCTCTGGGAGGGAAGAGATCAACGCAGACGAAACCAATAAAAGATGATGAAGGAAATATAATTACGAAAGAAGAGAAGCAGAGAGAAGAAGAGGAGAAACAAAGGAAACGATGGGCCGACCACTTCAAGAAGCTCTTGAATCGACCACCACCACCACCTGCACTTCGTCCAGAAATACCACCTGCAGCCCAACCACAGAACTACAAGTGAACATAAGTCCTCCAACAAAAGTCGAAGTCCTGAGCGCCATAAAGCTACTGAAATGCGAGAAAGCAGCAAGATGAGATCGAATCCCGCTAGAAGCACTGAGAGCAGACGCAGAGAAAACAGCAGATATGCTCACACCACTATTGCAGGAGGTCTGGAAGGAAGGGAAGGTACCTACCTACCGATTGATTGGAAGAAGGGCTACCTTGTCAAACTCCCGAAGAAGGGTGACCTGAGTCTTTGCAAGAACTGGCGAGGAATCACGCTCCTGTCCACCTCAAGCGAAATATTAAGCCACATCATCCTGGAGAGACTTAAAGGATGCGCTGGATCCGAAATTACGACTCGAACAGGCCAAGCGGCTTCAGGAAAAACAAATTATGAGTAGATCAAATTGCAACACTACGCTACACATCATCATATAACAGAGTATAGAATGGCAGTCAACTCAATTCTCTACCTCAACTTTATAGACTGAAAAGGCCTTCGACACCGTCGACCCAGAAGTAATTTGGCAACTGCTTCAACACTACAGAATACCACAAACCCTTATCAACCTCATTCAACAGTTATATGGAGATGCCACATGCCGAGTGGTTCACAATGGGAAGCTCAGTGATGCTTTCGAAGTAAAGAGAGGAGTGAAACAAGGCTCCCTACTATCACTGATGATATTCCTGATTGTAGTGGACTGGATTATGCAACAAACAGTGGGGAGCGAGAAGAGGGGGATACGCTCGACTTCGGAAAAGAACCTAGAAGACTTGGATTTCGTCAATGACTTATGTCTAATGTCACAAAACTTGAAGATCTACAGGCGAAAACTAACAAGTTGACAGAAGAGGCGAGGCAGGGCAGCGAAGATGGGACTTCAAGTGAACGTAGAGAAGACACAGGCGATGGAGATGCCCAACCACCACCACCAACAACAACAAGCTCCAATCACCATCAACAGGAGAAACTTAAAGGAAGTAGCCTCTTTCACTTATCTAGGCGGCACTGTTTCAACTACCGGTGGCGGCACGGACGAGGACGTCAAAGTCAGGATAGGAAAGACAGCAAGACAGGCCTCCATTAGCCTGAAACCAGTATGGAGATCTTCTGCACTCAGCATGTGGAACAATATCTGGATTTTCAACACCAACGTCAAGTCAGTGCTTCTATACGGTTCAAAGACTTGGCGTGTTACGAAAGGCATTCCCAGCAAACTACAGACATTCATCAACAACTGCCTACGCTGGCTCGTTACTCAAGCTCAGATGGCCAGAATAACAAGAATAAGCAACAAGGAACTCTGGTCGGGCAACGAACCAACCCAGAACCTATCGCTGAGCAAATATGCGGAAGAAGGAAGTGGAGATGGGATGGGCATACACTGAGAAGGCCGACTGGGGACATCACGCGCCTGGCCAAGCCCTCGAGTGAAACCTAGATGGGAAGCGACGAGTTGGGCGTCCGAGGTGAGGGCGACATGGAGGAGATCGTGCGAGGATGAAATGAGAGCTTCTGGGCTGTGGTGGAACCGGGTTCAAAAGATTTCGGAGGATAGAGTGCACTGCAGACGTGCTACTGAAGCCGTATGCCCCATTAGGAACCCAAGGGACAAATAGTAACAATAAATAACATGTATATACTAGCACAGCAGTATCATTAGGCTTTAGGTTTAATGATATTATCTGTATTCAAGATATAGGGTAGTTATTGCAATGCACACTCAAAGCAAAGCTAGTCCGTCCAATTCGCTGCATATTGCTATTTTCGGTACGGACATTAAAATTGTCAAGATAAGACGTACAACCTAATGGTGATCGTGCAAGTATAAAATGATGTCATTTGATTTACAAAGATAAGCATTACTTCAACTAGTAGTTTTTAAGAATTAATTAATATCAAAGGATTTTTTATTACAGATCAACATCAAATGGAGAACTATTGAAGTCCTAGAATCACTAGATAGTTATTTCGTCTAGGTTTGGGACCTTTTATCAGATCGAACCGACGGGGGATCGAACGCATATTTATGAGATCTCGTGGCAAGCATTTTACCGTTTAGCCGTAAAACCTATTATCTACTAAGATGTCTGACTTTAGAGACGTACGTATGCTGGTTATATAAATGAACGTTTTGTGACGATACATCTTGTAAGCTTCCACTTGTTTTATGACTAATATTACTGCTATCTTATGTATTATGTCTGGTCATTTCTTCGGTTAGGATATTAGTAGTCACAATCAAAGTATCAGTATCATGTTAGGCATTGATGGATAAAGGCAATGATTATTTTACGTGTAATGAAAATTTTTTATACTACGGCATAAAAGCGATAAACATAATCTTAACATAACTCACCAACAATGTATAGGTTTGTGCACAAAGCTGTGAGCCACACCTATTGTATCAGAGTCGGTTATACCATTTCACTGTGCAAACCTCGTTAGTTTTCGAATTCATAACCGATTGGGGAATAATAAATGCAAATCTTGGTTTTGAAATTGTTTATTTTGTTAGGATTTAACCACCATTTTTTAAATATTCAGCACATACTTGGTATGGGGTGACCACTAAGAAGCACTTCACTCAGTACAACATTCAGCGAATTAGGTCATAATCACGTCATCAATAAGTAATCGGTTCCGTTTTGTTTGTTAGTCGCTAGTGATGACGTCAAATTTCTTCTTTGGATCTATGCAAGAAGATCTAGTTTCGAGACTTCTTGCTACTCGCTTTCAGTCGTTCACATTGTCCTATCATTCGTTTGATTTCTCACTGCTTTTCTGATCTACCATTAGCTGATTGATTTCAATCCGCAGTGTCTGTTTATACAGCTGTAAGAAATGATTATTGAAGGTGGAATATATGGAGCGGTTACAGGTTTCCGACCACAGACATCGACTCACCATTGCTCACATATGGTGGAATCACTGTATGAGCAATATCGAGGTTAGGTGAAGTACATTAGGTAAGGAAGGCAATTCAGTCGGTAAGGTTGTGGACTTTCAGCAACTGGGTCGGCATGTTGTAAATACCGAGCCACCACCTACCTCGACATTCTATGTTAATCAAAGGATGTTTGGGTTGGAAGAAGGCTCAGAGTGGCCACACCAGTCCACAAAGTCTTCGACTCTTGGTGTCAGCCATTCAAGTAGGGGGACACCTAGGCTGAGTTCGTCGAAATGTGTTGGAAATCAACGGTTAGTCTCTTGGTGCCATTGGTTCAAAATTGGTCGCAACGTTGCTGTTGTGTTCAGTCTTTGTCATCCTCGAAGTTTCTAAGTATTATTACTAACCCTCGTTCTTTTTTTCATACACTTTAGTCTACTCTGGTAGCACGTTTTTGACACCCACTTGTTCTTTGTACGCTACTGTACAGTGTGGCAACTTGAATCGATTTTCTCTTGTACCAGGTTCCGTTATAGTGTACAGAGAGATTGACGAAATCTTCATAAGAAGCCGTATATCCTTGAAGCTTTTTACAACCAGTCTTCTCACTCCGAAGTTTTGAGAGAAAGCACATGAACCAACGTGTAGATATGAGGTTGGTTGAAGGGATGAAAATCAGTACGGCATTTAAATCTAAGAAGGCCTGGAAATAGCCAAGGCTAGCGTAAGTATATATAAACCATTGTATTTTGTACATATTTGTTGACATTACAATACACCTTCATTATACACTACCGCCTTTTCTATTTATTGAGAAAACTGATCAACCATTCAGAGGTGGAATCTGAGGGTTATTGTTCAAACGTCCGTATATATATATAACTTAGGTTTATATCAAACAGGTACTACATGGATATACTAAGCGGCAACTAAGGTTATAAAAGGTTCCGCACTGATTTGACCTATCTGTCATACCAAAAACAGAAGTGTTATCATTATTGAAATGAAATGTAATTGGTCGCTAATGCTGACATTCTTTCAAGATCTGATCGAATACAACTTATCTTCAGCTTGAGATATTATATTCTTGATACAATTGATGTATACATCAATCATTTGTCTTTTTGTTATGTTGCCGTATCTCATAGTGGTGCTTCTTTTTGCCTCCCTGAAAGGTGGTACTACAAAAAGTTCAGATTCAGTTGAAAAATTCTTGGATAAGTATGAAGTTTAAGTTCACACCGCTCCTTAAAAATGGTACATAACAGTCAATTAGTAGATTTCTCTGAGTTGTATCTGTATACTTTGAGGTTTCAACTGGTTACTTATGTTCACTATACTGTCTTCTTGTCCAGCTATATTAAATAACTAGACACGATTCATTCAGTGAATTTTGATACATGTGCTTATTTGTTGAATAAAGCTAATGCGTTAGCTTCAATGATACTGTTTGGCTGAGTGAATGTCTCAACTGAGAGAAAAGTCGTTGGTACTTTCCGTAATCAGCTAAATCTCTTTTATATTTATTGAAGATTTTAGGTAGTTGTGTAATTTGTATATCAAAAGTTAATGTGAACACATGGTTTTGGCAAAAATATTGGTTGGCAACGAGTTTCTAAAAGCTTTTAAATGCTTTTTTTCTAATACCTACTTACTGTGATGAATATTTCTTAAGTTAGCTGGATGGGGTCTATGAATCTTGCTATTCATTTGAACAACTTTGCTGACGAAAAATAACGGTTATTTTATTCGTCTTGTTTGTTTCACCTCTTTTGTTTCTAGGACTAATATTGGATGTTCACTTTTACATGTTTAATTCTTCTCATATATTTGGAAAAAGTTGTGAATCATCCTCCGTGAAATCCCCTTCTCATTCACCTTTACAACAAAAGATAATCACTTCGCCTGAACCCGAGGGGAAAAACAATGTTGTGTACGACAGCCAAACACTTTCATCCACTTTCCGATCTCCAACATCTGAACCTTATGTCCCACCGTCCTTTATGTATGCAGTTGCAACACTACCTTCAGTACCTCTGCATAATGAAGTTCTTATAAAACCTGACCAGAAGATTCTACTTTCTGGTGATGTTCGAGTGAAGTTCTACGCTAGACATCATGTGTTGAACAAAGTAAGTTTTGTCCATTTTTCTAATGGCATTTAAGTGCGAATCAGCCTATTGCAATATCAACCTTAATATTTATTCTACCTGCAGTTAATATTACATTATTGTGTTGATTGTTAAGTCATCTTGTTTTTGCCGCAACAATATGAAAACAGTTTTGACTAAATGAGCACAGTGTCCATAATCACTTGATACGAATTTCCTTACGATTATCATTGGTTGAAAACCCTGTTTTGGAATAGACAGTTTTATGGAAAGCTTTATTATTACGAGGTAGTTATCGCTTTGATACATCTACAAAGGTGATCTCATCACGAAATGATTAAAAACCTCGAGTTATCACGGCTTGTATCGGTCACTGTAATGCAATTGGTGCATATGTTATGTTTAGATAATATAGTTGAAATGGTTTGCGGCAGAATCATTAGTTTGATAATAGGTTTCGTCACAGACTGGCATCAATCAGAGTACTTCTGAATGTCAATAAGTACTTAACAGCTATTTCTCTGTAGTATCGGTGTGCAGAGCTTCCTTGTTTCATTTGTTTGCACGACACTGCTCGACTTTCCGTTTCTATTTCTACCTTTAGTTTTACCACTATATATCGTGATAATCTTCAAATGTCCACAGCTGGGTTTCTTTTCACTTGATGACAGGTGAACTACACAGGGCATAGCGTCTCATTTGTTAAGTCCACAATAACCTGTCATGACTTTATACCACGTATTTTAAGTGATAACCACAAAATATACAGGTAACTTTCAAGGCCACCGTATCAACAACTGAAATAACCACTTACACTTCTCTATTTTCTGAGAACCTACCTTTTCAGCCAAAATGGAGGAGCTTAATTGGTCATTTCGATTCTTGTTATGTTAGGGTGGCCTTTAAAGTTGCCCCAAATATACTCTGTTATTATTGTCAAATGATTCTAACTTTCTGCACGGCTCACTGCTTGAATATCACTTCATTTGTATACCCCATGTTTACTTGTAGGAGTCACCCACTGAAATGAACGGAAGATAAAATATTTGCAATTTTAACTACCAGTCTTTCTTGCTCTCCTGCTGTACAACATAAGACAGGCTAACGTCTTCCTACCGCTGTTTTCTGTGCGATGAGTTATACACAACTCATACAACTGAACTAAGTGTCCACAAAAAATCATTACTCATGTTATAAAATGACTGATTTCTTATATAGAAATTAGGATAATGCACACTAACCGTTTTCATTAACCATGTAGTTAGTTCGTAACCATGACTTGTACGAACTTAAGTAATCAGTTAAACGCCAAGTGAGATACACACATAATACCATAAAGTAAGTCCTGAGTACGATCCTTTAAGAAAAATAAAATAATAAGGCCTATACTGGTCTCCTGAGGTTCTATTCTAATTTCGTATATCCATTATAATGTCATTCAAACTTCGAAAAATTCCTTTGAAGGATAGTTAATGATGTCCCTAATAGATTTGTTTATTTGATTTATAACACTCATTGATCTAGTATTATTTACTTGATGATGTTTTGAGCATAAATTACTGCTCATAACCATACCAATGTAATCACACTACTTTCAACATTTGATTTTTATAGTTATGTCACTTTATATGAGTTGTTTTTATTGGTAACGAAATCTTCCATATCTCTGGTACACGTGTTACGTCATTTCTATTACATGTGTCGTGTGTTGATTCGATGAGCAACAATTCAGTAATCAATCTCTCTCTCCACCTAATTATATTGGACTTAAGTACAGTGGAATCTCGCCTGATTAACTAGTTCACTAGTTACTAGTCGGTCGTAAACCCGGGTAAAGAGGGAAGGTTGAGTATGGGGCTAGCAACCCTACCCCATAAAACCAATCCAACCGCTAAACAAACTTCAAAGCACAGACAAAATATAAAAAATAAAACAAACTTATTACACGCTGGAATCGGGGAGACGAAATGACGCCGGTTGGTGAAATCCATCGGGAAGCCAATTGGCCGATGTGTCTTCTCCTCTCTCGACGAAAGTGAAAGTAAACATTGGGACATGGAATGTCCACACTATGTTTGAACCTACCAAGGTCTCCCAGATTGCAAACGAGATGAGAAGGTATGGCATAGAAGTGCTTGGAATCTGCGAAAGCAGGTGGAATGGAAGTGGACTCTCCAAACTGTCAATAATCTACTCCGATATTATCACCCAGACGGCAACCACGAGCACACTGAGCTATAGAGTGGCTATCATGATGTCCCCTTCCAAGAGCATCGAAGGCTGTCATGTAGTGGGAACCGATCTCCTGCAGGATTATAACAGCAAGATTCAACTCAAAAGGAAGGAAAGTCACAATCGTACAATCCTACGCTACGCTACGCACCCACAAATAATGCAGATGAACAGAAAAAGGAAGAATTCTACAGACAACTGCAATCAACACTGGACAAGACTACACCTCAGTTATCGACATCAAAATTCTAATGGGTGGGGTGATATGAATGCCAAACTGGGAGCAGACAACACAGGATGAGAACTCATTATTGGTCGAGAAGCACTCGGTGAAATGAAAGAGAATGGAGAACTGTTTGCAGATTTCTGCGCATTCAACGATTTGTTGATTCGAGGCAGTGTACAAACACAAGGATATTCACAAAGCAGCATGGACTTCACCAGATGGACACACTACACTAAAAATCAGATCGACTTTATTTCAATCTGGAGAAAGTGGAGACGCAGCCTATTGGACACAAGATCACATCAAGAAGGGAGCAGATGTAGGTTCACACCACTCACTGTCTAGTGCTAGGAACCTTCAAAATCAAGTTGAAAGCCTTCTGAGAAGTTGGTGATAGACCACAATTCAAGTTGAACGCCCAGAACAGAAACCGAACTGAAGGACGAAACAACAAAGGACATCTTCACGTCAGCCATCGGACAAAATGGGAGATATCGAGCAAGATTTGATTGTGTTTACTACTGAATTTATATGCATGGGGAAATTGTTGATGTGTTCGGATTTCTACATAGTAAATGTTTCATCCACAGATCGCCACTTTATTTTTGGTGCAGGATGAAGCGTCTGTAAAGCCATGTTTTCCCAACTATCCATAAATATATCTGCTACGATTGGGGATATTAGTGATCCGATTGCTACTCCTTCTGTTTGTCTGTAGCAATGGGATCACCAATATTCCCAGTCGTAGAAGATATATTTAAGGATAGTTGGGAAACATGGCTTTACAGACGTTTGGTCCTGCACCAAAAATATATGGTGGCGATATATGGATGACACATTTACTGTGTTGAAATCGGAACACATCTACAATTTCCTCTTGCATATAAACTCAGTAGTAACGCAATCCAATTCACTTACGAGGTAGAAAATGAACAAGGAGAATTATCTATGTTGGATTGCAGAATAAAACGAAGAACAGACGGTGGTTTGGTTACTACTGTCTACAGAAAACCAACACATTCTAACAGGTATCTAGACTTCAAATCATCCCATCCAATGTCAGTTAAGGCAGGATTAGTCAAATGTCCAAATGATAGAGCTAGGAAACTGGCTAGTCAGAGCAAGAACCCAAACAAGGAATTGAAACACGTAAAAGAAGCTCTAATAGTTAATAATTATTCTCTGCAGTTTATTAAGAAATTCTTACGGACATTTGAGGAAAAAATAACAGTCACATGAGTGCGACGAATAACGACAACACGAGTAAAAAGGAGTTCACAGCCTCCATTGTATTACCTTATAAGGAGGGTACCTCAGAAACTTTACGTAGAATTCTCAACAGAGCTGTAATTAAGGTGGCATTTAAACCTACAAACTCACTCACAGATAAACTTTGTCGGCTGGCTTAAGGATCCGATAGAACCAATTAAGCAAATAATATAATCTATCAAATTCCATGTAATGACTGTGAGGTCAAGGACATAGGTCAAACTAGCCGGTCAGGGTCAGTCAGAACAGCCGAACATTGGAATTTGGCTAAATATAGAATGACGGACCCAAATAAGATCAGTAATCTAAAAAATAAACTCGACTATTGCTATGCTATTGTACTTAAGTCCAGTATAATTAGGTGGAGAGAGAGATTGATTACTGAATTGTTGCTCATCGAATCAACACACGACACATGTAATAGAAATGACGTAACACGTGTACCAGAGATATGGAAGATTTCGTTACCAATAAAAACAACTCATATAAAGTGACATAACTATAAAAATCAAATGTTGAAAGTAGTGTGATTACATTGGTATGGTTATGAGCAGTAATTTATGCTCAAAACATCATCAAGTAAATAATACTAGATCAATGAGTGTTATAAATCAAATAAACAAATCCAATATGGAATTAAGTTTACCACAGTGCCCAAGTTTTACACCTATATTAGTTAATGATTTCTCCATCATGACTGTTTATTTGAATGGTCCACATTAATTGATTTTCTTGAAGATGGTTACTAATGTAATACATTCTCATTGCGAATGCTTAGTCTTTCACACATAGTGATGTTTTTATTTTACATTCGCTGACATGCAGACAAACAAAGTCAACACAGAACCTCGCAGAAAAGTGCATTGGTTCAATCTATCATACTTTACAGCAGCATGCAAACAACAGTTGGACAGGAAAAATGTGTGTGCAAGGTAGAGGAGGTTTAAAATCTAGGTTCGTGAAAATGTTCAAGCTTTATAAGACATGAACTCGTGAATACATCTGCCCCATTGTGACCGATTTTCAGCCATTTCACCGAGAGTTCTCAACCACTAATTCCTATCATTTCGGGAACCCCAGCCAGGTACATCTGCTTATATGGCTCATACTTAGAGATGAAAACTTCATGGACTGGTGTCACATCTTAGACTGGCTATCCTGGGCTTCTTTCAACCTGATCCAACTGCTAGCATTACATATCCAAGTCACATCAGTCGATGAAGGTTCACAACCTCATCGACCGGCTTCCCCTCCTTGGCCAGTACTTTCCGACTAACCTCGACTTTACTAGCGT